ACGCTTCTCGGGGCCTCAGCCCTCTCGGGGGGCTGGGGTTGTGCTGGGAAGGGGTGGGACTGGGATCCCGAGGTGCGCCGCGGCTATCTTGGCGTGGACCTTTCTCCAGCCCAGACCTGGGGGCCCCCACGAAGCAGCTGGGCAGCGCCCGACTCCTTCCCTAAAGGTAGCTCGGCCCTGGCTCTTGCTGCGCGCCCCCCTCCCCCCCACCCCACCGCGCAGGCCGGCCCTGGAAGCCGCGTTTCAGGGAGAGGGGCCACCCGCCGGCCTTTTGCGCACATCACCTACCAAGATACCTTTTTCTTTGGGTTTTGGGGCCACCCCGACCATTTGCTTGGGGGGGCACTCTCCAGGCTCAGCCCCAGGTCCCCCACATACAAAGGGTGGGCCCTAGCCCTGGAAGCCACCTCTCTGCCCCTCTCCCCTCCCACACACACACTTTATCTAACCTCAGTATTCTCACTTTATGGGGGTGGGAGGGACCCTGCTGAGACCCAGAAAGGTTCAGGGACCTACGGGGAGGGAGGGTGGGCGTCACTTAGCAGGTGGGGTGTGTCCTTGTGTGACCCTTCTGTAGCCCCAGCTTCCCTGGGGTAGGAGAAGGATCTGTGAGGTTTCTTGGTGGGCGTGGGGAGGGGGGAGTCTGAAGGGAGGGGAGCGGGCAGTTGCACCCCGAACAAACTAATTCTGAACCAAGAACCAAAGCATAGACTTAATCGGAGTACTTAAGAACAAAGCCTGGTAGCTTCAGGACTTTCTGGAGTAGGTTAGCACCGAAAAGGGGGGTGGGGGGCTCCCCTGGAAGCCCAAGCTTCCCCCCTCCCGGGCTGCCAGCTTGGGTGGCTGGCTGCCTGGCGCTCAGCCTCCTTCCTTCCTCTTGACAGGAAATGACTTTCCTTCCCTTTGTTCCCACTTTCTCCACTTACCGGACTGGATCTCAGATTCTGCCTCTGGGGAAGGAAGGATGGGGGCGGAGGGTCCCTGGGGTGGGGACTCGCTAGGAGACTGGACTGGTCGAGGGGACTTTCTCACACTTAACCTCTGGGGGTAAGCTGGGTTAGGGGGGGCGCAGTGCAGCCACCCGGGAGCCTGGGAAACAGGGGAGACTGGGAGGCTGCCCAGCTGGGAACATCTGGCCTCAGGGCTGGAGACCTTTGCTCTGGAGGTTTTCAGAGAACAAACGGGCCCATCTGACTTCCCCAGGGGAGGGGTGGGTGAGGGGCTGTGACAGGGACTCACAGCTGTCTTTTCGATGACCACAGGAAAATCGGTCCATTCTAGGGAAGGACAGACCCCCATTTGGGGGTCCCCTCAGAGCCACAGGCCCAAGGATGCTTTCTGGACAGTCAGGTCATGTGGTACTTTTTGCTGGAATTCCCATCGTGGGCCAAGGGTGAGGGCACGAAGGGTCTATATCCAGCAGCCTGTGGTCTTCCAGCCTCCGTAGGGATCAGCACCTGAACTGAGTTAGGAGTAGCCCCACCCCAGCATTGCTGGTGCAGCCCCAAGAGTCTGCCTTGGGGACCAGAGCCATAGCACAGTGGGCAGGGCACTTGCTTTGCACAGAGCTAATCCAGGTGCAGCCCCAAGTAGAGCTGCAGTCGAGTCTGCCTTGGGGACCAGAGCCATAGCACAGTGGGCAGGGCACTTGCTTTGCACAGAGCTAATCCAGGTTTGATCCCTGGCATCCCATATGGTCTCCCGAGCCCTGCCAGGAGTGATCCCTGAACAGCAGTGGGCATGACCCCCAAAACAAAGGAAAAAATAGAGTCTGCCATGGAAAAGTCTCTTCATTAATGAATCTCTTGTTGGGGCCACTATCGGGGTGAAGGCACTTGGCTGTGTGCATGCCAGCCAGGTTCAGTTCCAAGCACCCCCAGGTGTGGCCTCACGTGCTATCTGTAAAGTAGGTACAGAGTGAACTGAGTTGAGGATTAGGGGAGTTTTGAAACCCAGAAACCATTTAGCACCCAGCAAAGGCTTTATCAGTGAGCATGGATGTTGCTGTTTCTTTAATTGAAATCTCAGACGCACTCTGAAAAGCATGTACAAAAATAGATTCTTAAAGTTTAAAACCAAAGACTGTGGCAGCCAGTATAAGCATATATACTTCCAAACATCATTTATAAGAGAGAGAGAGGACTTTTAGAGAACCCAAAAGCTTTCTTTGTATGTGGGTTTCTTATTCAGAAGATCCATTTTATTCAGATTAAACTATACAATTTTTGGAGGGGGACTCATACCCAGCGGTGCTCAGGGTTTCTTCCCATCTCTGCACTCAGGGATCACCCTTGGTGGCTCAGGGCAACCATTCGGGATACTAAGGATTGAACCCGGATCAGCTGCATCAGCTGCATGCAAAGCCTGTGCCCTTCCCACTGTACTATCACTCTGACCCCATAAGCTGTACATTTTTAGAGGGTGGGGCATACCTGGCAGTGCTCAGGGCTTACTCCTGGCTCCATACTCAGAGATCACCCCTGGAGATGCTGGCGTACCATGCATGGCAAGGGGTCTAACTCAGCCCTCCCGTGTGTAAAGCATGCACTCGCCCTTTAAGCTCTCCCTGGCTCTTGCATGTGTTATGTTTGTTGTTCTCATCCACTGACACTAGTTGACTGGACCTCAAAGTACATAGGGAGGCATATGAGTGATCCCGTGGGGTTCCTGCTCTACTAAACATGTCCTGGGATCCTCACTCCAACCACCCTTTGCTACTTCTTTCTCTTACAGGGGCTCCCACAGAAGTGCTGGGAGACCATACAGTTGTGTGGCTTAAACCCAGGACCCTGTGTGTCCCAGGACAGGCTTCAGCTCTCTAAGTTCTCTCCCTACCCATCAGTACCACTGCTTTAAAAAAAAAATTGAGGAAGAGCCTGAGTGATAACATAGCGGGTAGGTAGGACTCTTGCGTTGCGTGCAACCAACCCTGGTTCTATCCCCAGCACCCATATTGGTTCCCTGAACCCTGCTACGAGTGATTCCTGAGTGCAGAGCCAGAAGTAACCTTTGAGCATCACTGGTCGTGGCCCCCAAACAAAAACAAAACAACAATAACAAAACTAACAGGCAAGTAAGATACATTCAAGGGTGAGCACAGACTTAAAGAGTAAGCTGGGGCCCCCAGTTTGATCCCTGGTACCACGTGGTCTCTTGAGCACTCCTGGGAGTGATCCCTGACCACAGAAATGGGAGTAGCGCCCCAGGACCACCAGGTGGGACTCTCCCAGAATAATCCCCCCAGTAAGGACTGTAAAGACTCTGTGAGAAGTAGGAGAGGCAAAATGAGGGTGGGACTACTTAGAGGCTAAGACAAAAGAGCTCTTCTGGGGTGGACAGTCAAAGGGGGTGATAAAGGTAAGGTAAAGGTAAAGGCCCTCCCGTTGATCGTCGATTTGCTCGAGCGGGCCCAGTAACGTCTCCATTGGAGACTTTGTTGTTACTGTGTCTGGCATATCGAATACTCTCGGTAGCTTGCCGGGCTCTCTGAGAGGGGCGGAGGAATCGAACTCGGGTCGGCCATGTTGGCCGCTTGTAAGGCGAACGCCCTACCCGCTGTGCTATCGCTCCAGCAAAATTTAAATTTGGTGGGGGGATTGGGTTATACTCAGCAGTGCTTAGAGCTTACTCCGGGCCCTGACTCAGGAATCACTCCTGATGGGACTCGGAGAACATAGGAAGTTCCAGGGATTGAACCAGGGTCCGCTGCATGCAAGGCAAGTGCTTATCCATTGGACTAACCCTCCAGCCCTGGACTTCGAACTTATGGAAGTAGAAAGCCACGGAAGTCTTTCAAACAGAAGAGAAAGATTGGTGCTCTAGAGAGGAGAGGAGGGACTGTCCAGCCCATGGGTGTATAACTCATGAAACCATGTGCTGTGGCCCTGGTACTTGACTGGACAGAAGATACTAGTCATTGACTGCCCACACCCTGTCTGCCTCTATTGTATGATCCACGAAAGATGTTATAAAAATCCAAATGGTGGGTCTGGAGAGATAGCACAGCGGGTAGGGTGTTTTCCTTGCACGCGGCCGACCCGGGTTCGATTCCCAGCATCCCATATGGTCCCCCGAGTTCCACCAGGAGTAACCCCTATGCATCACCAGATGTGACCCAAAAAGCAAAAAAAAAAAAAAAAATTCAAATGGCCCTTGGCTCAATAATACATTGGGTGGGGCACTGGCCTTGTATGTACTGACCTGAGTTGATCCCCAGCATCCCATTTGGTTCCCAGAACAGTGCAAGGAATGGTCTCTGCGCATAGAGCCAGGAGTAAGTCCTGAGCACCAGTGGGTGTGAAAAACAAACAAACAATCAGCCCTTGGCAGAAAAAAAGCACCCTCCCAATACTCTCCAAAGGTCTCTGCAGGGTCAGGAGAGGAGGCAAGACTGAATGCCCTTGGGGTCTTCACCCCCTCCTAGCTGGACAGAGTGGGATTGCGGTGGAGTTAAGACTTGATGGACTAGGGGCTGGAGCGATAGCACAGCAGGTAGGGCGTTTTCGTTGCACGTGGCCAATCCGGCTTCAATTCCCAGCATCCCATATGGTCCCCCATATGGTCCCCCAAGCACCGCCAGGAGTAATTCCTGAGTGTAGAGCCAGGCATTGCCGGGTGTGACCCAAAAAGCCAAAAAAAAAAAAAAAAAAGAAAGAAAGAAAAAGAAAAAGACTTGATAGACTGGGAGTCCACGGCAGAGGAAAGTGCCTGGTGGTAGGCTGGGTGGGGAGAGGCCCCAAGAGCCCAGCTCGGACTCAAGGTTCAAATCCCACTCCCATGGTGAGGTGGGCCTGCCCAGGAGGCTTTCTATCCCATCTCGGCTCCCTCCTCTGTTGTAAGAGGGAGTGGCAGGGGTGGGGGATCCCAGAGTCACAGGCAGGCAGCGTGAGGGCCCTGCAGGCACTGAGCAGAGCTGGCAAAACCGGGGCTCTGCTTGTCCGCGCCCTCTGCCTCCTGGGGCCCCGCCTGAGCTCTGACGGTCTTGCTGTTTCCCTCCCGCAGCAGAGCCTGGTCCGAGAGGACTTTACTCCCAGGAGGATCCCAAGCCCAGGTAAAGCGGGTGGGATAGGGCGAGGCCTGTGGGCAGGTGTGGCCCGGAGTGGGCTGTGCTGGGTGACGCTGCCGGAAGGTCCTTCCTGGGACTGCGGAGAGGAGGAAGAGGAACGTTTGTGGCAGGGCGGGTCCAGCTGCCCTTTGCTCTCCTGGCGTGGGCTGGGGAAGGGGCAGCCAGAAGCTGTGCGCCACCCGAGGGCCAGGTTGTCTGTGCCACCTGCCTTGCCTGTCTCTCAGGATATCCCCAGTCCCATCCTTGGCTGGGCTGGACTGTGTGCACCGTGGCACGGTTGCTCCTGTCTTGTGAAGACGTGGCACACGTGTCCAGGTGAAGCGCACCCCGTGCCCTGAACCCCACTCTGCCTCCCATCCCACCAGGAGCCGAGGCCATGGCAGCCAAGTCTGAGAAGAGGGTGGCCTCGTCCGTCTTCATCACGCTGGCAGCCCCACGCCGAGATGAAGCGGCGGCCGTGGAAGTGAGGCGGGCGGTGTGTGAGGCCCGGCCTGGTGGCCCCCGAGAGACTCCTGACCCGGAGAGGGCGTCTGGGGCTGGTGCAGTGGGCAGGCCTGGCCCCTGGAAGGCCCCTGGCAGAGTAGCGGCCGCTGTGCCCGCTGAGCTCTCCAATGGAGGTAAGAGGGTGCAGACGGGGTGGGAGTTGGCCAGAGGCAGTACCAGGGCGAGGGTGGGTGGGCAGGCACTGATGTCGGGCGTCATTTCATTTACGGGGCAGCTACCATGACACTGCATGGCCAAGTGACGTTGCAGCCGCTTCATGCCCTGTTCTTCAGTTTCCGAAGCTGTGAAACAGGGATGGGGATGGGGCGGGCTTCACAGCTGTGGCGAGGCTGAGCCGTGTGACGACACGAATTCAGCCCCTCTTTTGTTGGGTTTATTTCTTGCCGCTTGTGTTCTTGCTAGATGTGGGCATATGGGAGAGAAACGGGGCTCACCATATGCATGAAGCTTATCTGCTGGGAGCAGTTAATAATTGGGTCTTTATTATCTGCTTTCTTTATCTTGCTTTATCTGCTTTCATCACACAGGAATAACTGAGGAGGGAAGAGGTGGGGAGGGCCACAGTTGCTTTGTTAGGGACCACAGTCAGCAGTACTCAGGGCTTCCTCCTGGCTCTGCACTCAGGGATCACTCCTGGTGGGGCTCAGAGGGACCATATGGGGTGCTGAGGATCATGCCCAGTTTGCCACTTGCAGCCGAAATGCCCGACACACGGTACTATCACTCCAGCCCAAATCTTTTTTTTTTCCCCCAGTGGTCAGGGCTTCCTCTTGGCTCTCCACTAAGGGATCACTCCTGGCAGGTCTTGGGGAACCATATGGGATGCTGGGGTTGAATCCAGGTCAGCCGAGTGCAAGGCAAACTCCCTATCCACTGTACTATCTCACTGGCCCCACATATCACCTCTCGAATTCATCAGTTCTCCTCCAGATATCTCTATAAATGCTGCTTTGGGAGGAAAGAGGCCTCCCAAGGCTGCCGCATAGATTCTACAAGTGAATCCCCTGGCTCCATCCCTGGCATCGCCTGGTTCCCCAGCATCGGGCGGGGGCGGTGGGGAGGGGGCGACCTCCCTCCCCAGCTCCACTGTCAGGTGTGGCCCAACAATAAAGTAAAAACCTGGGGCTGGAGCAATAGCACAGCGGGTAGGGTGTTTGCCTTGCACGCGGCCAACCCAGGTTCTATTCCCAGCATCCCATATGGTCCCCTGAGCACTGCCAGGAGCAATTCCTGAGTGCAGAGCCAGGAGTATACCCTGTCACCTGTTCTCTAAGCCCCTGTCTCTAAGTAGCACCAGCAAGGTAAAGGTAAAGGTAAAGGCCCTCCCGTTGATCGTCGATTTGCTCAAGCGGGCCCAGTAACGTCTCCATTGGAGACTTTGTTGTTACTGTGTCTGGCATATCGAATACTCTCGGTAGCTTGCCGGGCTCTCCGAGAGGGGCGGAGGAATCGAACTCGGGTCGGCCATGTTGGCCGCTTGTAAGGCGAACGCCCTACCGCTGTGCTATCGCTCCACACCAGCAAAAAAAAAAAAAAAAAGGAAAAAAAAAGAGTAAAAACCCAAAGCTGCTCTTCCTCACAGCCCTTTGAACCTCATCTCCCTTCTTCAACTGTCTGCTTTCCGCACACTGACCCTGTGCCTGGATGCCGCGGGGCCTACACCCCTCCCAGCCTGCTGTCTAGACTGGAGGCAGGTCAGCTCAGCACTGCTGCCCGCCCTGATCCGGTTCCTGACTCACACACGTCAGCCTTCCTTCCTGAGCTGGCTTACACCACAGCCACATCAGCGTGGCCTGGGGGCTTGTTTGAACACAGCCAGCTGGTCCCTCCCCCTATTTCTGATTCAGTCCTTTTGGGGCCAGGAAATTTGCCTTTCTCCCTGGGTTTTGCATAATGGCAGATGCTCAAGGCCGGACAGGCCCCGTGAGAATGAGTGCTCTAGTGCAGAGGCTTTAAGAGGTGAGATGGATGGACTAGGGCCTTGGAACCATCAACATCACCCCAGAATTTTGCAAAAACCAAATTCGTGGACTGGTGAGATCATGCAGGGCTTAAAAGCGTTTGCCTTGCATGTGGTTAACCTGTGTTCAACCCCCAGCACTGCACGGTTCCCTGAGCACTGCCAGGAGTAACTAAAAACACCATGGAGTACCAGCCCCAACTCCGCTCTCCCCCTCCCCCCCCACAAAATAAATAAATAAATAAATAAAGCTCCACAAAAACTAAAACCACATAAATCTTTCTCCAAACCTGCTGAATCAAAAACTCTGGGATCGGACCCAGCTGCTAACCGACACACTTGGCATAGGCTGGTACTGACTGGCACACTTTGGCCCAGATGGGCAAATAGGACCCCTCCTCAGTCACCCTGGCAGTCTCCCCCCTGCAGCTGGGGCAAATCCCCACCGAGCTGACCACCTTCAGTGGCACACACCTGCTCTCTAAGACCAGCTCCAGACGCAGACTGGCACAGGTTGGCATTAATTGGCACAAGCCTCTCCACCACACCTGGGAGCTCCCAGACCTAGAACAGTACCGCCCGCCCTCCGCAGAGAAGCCTGGTCCTCGCCAGTCTTCGATGGATGAGAAACCTGAAGCCTAGGGAGGTGCTCCTGCCAGTTCTCCGGCACTAGGCGCTGAGCCCAGGCCCCCAGGCGCATAGTCTCAGCCTCTCCGGCTGCCTGCCGTGGGTGTCTCGGGCATTCACCTCACTGCTGCCCAGTCTGCCTCCTGCCCCAGTGCCTTCTCTTGGAGGCCTGTGTGGGATAGTGGACAAGGTTTTCCTGGATGCCCATAGCCCCCCATTGTGCCTCTCTCCTGCCGCTCCATCACCTCTTGTAAGCAGCTGAATAGCCTCTTACTGGCACAGCTGGGAGGGTCTGAGTGGGTAGGGATCCTGAGGAGGGACCACTCGACTGAGGTTGGAGCTAGGTCACCCCCTCCCTCCAGTGCCGCCGGCCAGGAGGAAGTGCTGGAGACCAGGGGATGGGACCAAAGGCTTCTTTCTCGCTGCATCCACCTCAGCTTCCCGGAACAGGAATTAGCTGTGCTAATAATGAAATTGGTCCTCTGCCCATTTTTCTTTGCTATTTGATTTTTTTTTTTTTTTCAGATTTTTTTTGGGTTGGTTTGTTGTTTGTTGCTTTTGATTTTGGACCACACCTGGTGGTGCTCGGGGCTTACTCCTGGCTCTGCACTCAGGAATTATTCCTGAACCCTAGTTGGCTATTTGCAGAGCAAACCTCTTACCTGCTATACTCTCATCAGCCCCCAAGACAAGCTCCGGCCCCTTATTTTCTGTCAAATATCTGCAGATGTAGGAGGGGAGCAGGTCAAGGAAATCTGTGTATTTCCTGTCCAGTGTCACATATATAAAGAATTTGCCACATTTATTTTATCTATTCCCTTCTTTGGTGGTGGTGATAGTGGTCTATCTGTGTGTGTGTGTGTGTGTGTGTGTGTGTGTGTGTGTGTGTGTGTGTACACACACGCGTTGGGGATCAAACCCAGGCCCTCACATATGAATTTGTTCACTGAACTCCATCCCAGCCCCTAAACACTGGTGACTAATAGTCTGGTTTTACTAACTTTTCATTTTGCTTTGCTTTTGGGCCACAGTCAGTGCCCAGTGTGCTAGGGGGCCACACAGTGCCAGGTTTCTAATCCAGAGCTCCTACATGCAAAGCAAATACTCCAGCTCTCTGAACTACCTCTCTGGCTCCTTTATCAAGTTTGTTTATTTTTTTTGGGGGGGAGGGGGTGCACCTAGCTGTACCCAAGGCTTGCTCCTGGCTCTGCTTATGGATCACTTTTGGCGGTGCTGGGGTTTCATGTGCAGTGCCAGGGATTGAAACAGGGTTGGTACAACACAAGTGCCTTAAACCCTGTGCTCTCTCTCCAGTCCCATGAAAAGATTTTTTGTAGTTTTTTTTTTTTTTCATTCTTCTGTTTTTATTTTGAGCCACACCTGGTAGAGCTTGGTGCTAATCCTGGCAGTGCTCAGGAGACCGTGCAGTGCCAGGGACAACTCTGGGGCTCCCACACGCAAATCATGCACTCTAGTCCTTTGAGCCATTTCCCTGTCCCCACTCCTTGTGAAGTATTTATTTGTTGGCTTTGGGGTCATACCCGGCAGTGCTCAGAGCTTTCTCCTGGCACTGTGCTTAGACATCACTCCTGGCAGTGCTCAGGGGGACCATATAGTGGGGCAGTGCTAGGGGGTCCATATACCGTACTGAGGATCAAACCCGGGTCAGCCTGTGCAAGAAAAACTCCTTTTTTGTTTGTTTTTGTTTTGGTGCTACACCTGGTGATGCTCAGAAGTTACTCCTGGTTCAGGATTACTCCTGGCAGTGCTCAGGAGACCATCTGGGATGCTGGGGATTGAACCCAGGTTGGGTGCATGCAAGGCAAACTCTCTACCCGTTCTACTATCTTTTCAGCCCCTAAAACAAACTCCTTAATCCCTGCACTATCTCTTTGACTCCTTGTGAAATAGTTAGAAGGAAATGTCACTACTTAGGTCTCTCAGCCCCACATTTTTCAGAGTGCATCTCTAAATATGGCCATTTTCTTACCTAACCACAATGGCAGACAGTGCCTCACAAAATCAACAAGAATGATTTAAAATTACCTAATACTTTATCCACAGTTGATTTTCCATGATTGTCATAAAAATGCCCTTTAGCTATTGGATTGCAGTGGAACGAATGGTTTCTATTACATCTTGCCCATCTTTTGAACTGTATCATTAGTGAAATATTTGACTTTTCTTCATCTGTAAAATGAGGAGAATTTGATGAGATGGTTAACCCTGGAATCTGGTTCCAAATCGTCTACACTGCCACTGGCTGATAAAATAGTGTGAGTCACAAATACAAGCTACTTGTGTAATTTCAGTTCTCCTAGCATCACATTTAAAAAAAAAAAAAAGACAAAGATGGGGCCGGGGCGATAGTTCAGTGGGTAGGGCATTTGTCTTGCATGTGGCTGACCTGGATTTGATCCCTGGCATCCCATATGGTACCCTGAGCAGTGCCAGGACTAATTACTGAGTGCAGAGCCTGAAGCAACCCCTGAACTTCATCAGGTGTGGCTCAAACAAAAACCAAAAAAAGTATTAGTTTGGGGGTTAGAGAGTACAGGCATGTGGCAGACCTCGCTTTTATCCCCAGCACTGCATATAGTTCCCTAAGCATGACCAGAAATGACAAGTGACCTGTTGATCTGTGAACACAGAGCTAGGAGTAAGCCCTGAGCACTGCCACCTGCCTACATAAATATACATATATAATTTTAAGTAATATGTATTCTGCAATACTGTCACTGTCACTGTCCTCCCGTTGTTCATCGATTTGCTCAAGCGGGCGGCCCAGTAACGTCTTCATTGTGACAATTGTTACTGTGTTTGGCATATCGAATACGTCATGGTTAGCTTGCCAGGCTCTGCCATGCGGGCGAGATATTCTCGGTAGCTTGCCGGGCTCTCCGAGAGGGGCGGAGGAATCGAACTCGGGTCGGCCATGTTGGCTGCTTGCAGGGCAAACACCCTACCCACTGTACTATCTCTCCAGCCCATTCTGCAATACATTATATAAAAATGATTATCCTGTAATCATAAAGCTACTAATGGATTATTTTACATTCTTTCCTTCATAGTAAATCTTCTAACTCACCTGGTACTTCTTGGTAGGAGCCAGCCCCATGCCATATGCCATCCACAATGCTCAAAATCCCCTCTTGGGGTCAGGAAATGGCTCGTGGAGCACATGCATGCTTTGCTTGCAGGAGGCCTGGGTTTGATCCCCGACATTACTTGAGCACCACTAGCGGTGGCCCTCATGCATGGAGTCAGAGGTGAACCCTGATCACTTCCGGGTGCGTCTGAAACAAAAAGCCTCCCTTACCTGCGTCATAGTTTCATCCCCCCCACAGTCCTGAGCGACTGACTGACATCTCCAAATCAGCAGACAAAGACTCTTTCAGAGATTTTGTTTTGTTTTGTTGGCTTTTTGGGTCACACCTGGTGATGCGCAGGCCCTGTACTCAGAAATGACTGTGCATGGAGGGACCATGTGGGATGCCGGGGGTCAAGCCCGGGTCAGCCGTGTGCAAGGTCAACACCCTTGCACACCAGCACTCCGGCCCCAGAGACAGTTAGCCTTTGGCTAGAGACACATAGTGGCAATGAGAGATGGAACCCAGGTCTGGGTGGTCCTGGCCCTGAGCCCACAGCCACCCATCTGGGTGGCCTACTGGCTGGGCAGTGTCCCCTGTGCCCCTGCAGAGACTTTTCGGCCAACCCTGTCCCCGTTCTCGTTGCAGGATGTTGCCCCCCGCCCCCTCTCCCAGATGCTGCAGATGTGCTCCCCGACCTGGACCTCCTCCCGCCTCCCCCGCCACCCCCTTCAGCATATCTGCCTCCTGACGAGGCGCCCCTGGCCCCAGCGGAAGCGTCCCTTATTTCAGACTTGGAGCAGCTGCACCTGCCCCCACCCCCATCCCAGGTACTGCCAACGCTGTGGTCCCTGAAGGTGCACTGGGGGCTGGGGAGGGAGAATCTGGAGCTTGTAGGAACTAAAGCCTGCAGGGAGGGGGTCTGTTATCAGAGCTGGCCCTCTCCTAAGCCCTCTCAGACTGTTAGACATTGGTTGTGGGGGACCAGGAGATAGTACAGGGATTCAGGCACTTGTCTGGCCTGCAGTTGATCGTCATTCCGTCCCTGACGCCACATATGGTCCCTCAAGCACTGCCAGGTTTGGTCCACGACTCCTTGCAACCCCCCCCCACACACACATGCACACCAAATAATAGTTAAAAAAAAAAAAAACATCAGTTGCGTGTTTTCAGAGTTGCGTGTTTTCAGGTCCCTGGAGAAGGTGCCCTGTTATCCTCAAGCAGCCTTTTATCTCCGAGAAGACGTTTCCTTGTGTCTGACCAAAATTCCTTAGATTTTATAGGAGAAAGTCACATTTTTTGTCTCAGTGCCAGGGATTAACCCGAGGCCTCTGACTCGGAGCCTGAGCCCCTGCTGAGTGTGTACGTGCTCGCGCGCGCACACGCGCACACACACACTCACACCCCGCCCAGCTCCACTCCAGTCCTTGCCCTGAGCCGCCTGGCGCTGTTTCCGGGAATGTGACTTGGGTAGAGCACAAACACTGAGCAGATGAGACCCTGGGTTTGATCCCGAGCGCCCAAACAGAGCTAAGACAGACCCCCACACAATCTCAGAGGCCATTGTAGAAAGTTCTCAGCCAAGGGAAAAATCTGATTCTAGACAATTCCATGCCAGCAGCAGAGGGAAGAAGCTTTGATTGGCCACAGGCCCTGGGTCCAGCTGCCCTTCCCGCGAGTGACTTTGGCCCCATCCTCCCTTCTCTGCTGCCTTCCCTCCTCATCCGACCTCGTGCACAGAGCAGAGCTGAGAGGGTGTGTGGGGGGCCTCATCAATCAACTTCTCTCTTGCCTCTCTGTGTCTCCACAGCCCCTGGCCGAGGGGCCGCCCCTCCGGCCTCCACCGAGTCACCTCAGGCCCGCTAATGTGGAGCTGCCCCCTCCCCCAGAGGAACCTGTCAGCTGGCCTGAGAAGGAGGCATCCACAGGTATGGACAAAGCATCAAAACATGGAGCAGGGTCCTAAGGGTCCCTGGGGGACTGGGGGGCTGCCAGGGCCCTCCAGGAGGGAAGTAGGAGAGTAGAGACACCAGCCACCAGTGTCTGCCCTGATTCAGAGCTGTTCTCTCTCTCTTTCTTTCTCTCTCTCTCCCTCTCCCCTCCCTCCTTCTCTCTCTTTCCCTCCTTTTATCTCTTCTTTTCTCTCTCTCTCTCCCACTCTCTTCCTCCCCTCTCTCTCCCCTCCCTTCTCTCTCCCTCCTTTTCTCTCATCTCTCTCCCCCTCTCCCTCCTTCTCTCTCTCCCTCCTCTCTCTCCCTCCTTTTCTCTTTTCTCTCTTTCCCCGCTCTCCCTCTCTCTCCCTCCTTCTCTCTCTCTCCCTCTTATTTTTCTTCTCTCTCTCTCTCTCTCTCTCTCTCTCAGTTTTTTGGCAACACGTGACTGTGCTCAGGGCTTACTCCTAGCAGTGCCCAGTGGACTATATGAGGTGCCAAGGATTGAAGCCAGGTTGGCCACATGCAAAGCAAACGCCCTATCTGCTGAACTATCACTCAGTCCCAGTTCTCTGTTCCTTGCCTTAACCTTTTCCTTTTTTTTTTTTTAATCTTTTCCTTTAAAAAAAAATTATAAGCTGGAGGATTGAAGAGATAGCATAGTGGACAAGGCATTTACCCTGTATGTGGCAGACCTGGGTTCAATCCCTGGCACCTGTTATGGTCCTCTAAACCCCAGCAGGGGTGACTCCTGAGCACAGAGCCAGGAGTAAGCCTTGAGTACCGCTAGGTGTACCCCACCCCCACCCCTCCTAAAATACATATATACATATATGTATATCCTGATTGTTTATAGAAAAAGCTTGTGCTATGAAATCGTACCTGCGGATTTTTGTTCCATTTTTGAAAGTTTTGCACTTTTTATTTATTTATGAACTTTGAGGTATCATAGTTTATAGTAGTATTTTTTAATTAATTAATTTTGGGTTTTTTGGGTCACACCCAGTGATGTTCAGAATTTACTCCTGGCTCTACACTCAGGAATTACTCCTGGCAATGTCCTGGGAACCATATGGGATGCGGGGGATTGAACTCTGGTTGGTTATGCAAGGCAAACACCCTACCTGCTATACATTGCTGCAGTATTAAGTCACTATTCTATTTTGGGGGTTGTAGAACCACACCTGACAGTGCTCAGGGCTTACTCTTGACTTTGTGCTCAGAGATCACTTCTAAAGGGATTTGGGGAACCATCTGGGACCTCAGGGGTCACATCAGGGTCAGCTGCATGCAAGGCAAGCACCTTATCCCTTGACTAGCTCTCTGGCCCTGTTTTTATTACTTAAAAGTTCACACTCCTGGGGCTGGAGCAATAGCACAGCGGGTAGGGTGTATGCCTTGCACGCGGCCGACCCAGGTTCGATTCCCAGTATCCCATATAGTCCCCCAAGCACCACCAGGGGTAATTCCTGACCGCAGAGCCAGGAGGAACCCCTGTGTATCACTGGGTGTGACCCAAAAAGAAAAAAAAAGTTCACACTTTCCCCCACCCCCCCATCATTTCCTTTGTTGATGATGTAAAAATTGGTGGGTTGCATGCACCCCTGACTAGAGAGCTTTTGCTTTTTTTGTGTTTTATTTTTTTGTTTTGTGAGCCACACACATGGTGCTCAGGGCTTATTCCTGGCAGACTCCGGGGACCAAATGGGGTACCAGGGAGCAAACTCAGGTCAGCCGTGTGCAAAGCCAATACCCTACATCCTGTACTATTGCTCTGGCCCCTTTGTTTTATTTTTTATTTTTATTTTTTTTTGCTTTTTGGGTCACACCTGGCGATGCACAGGGGTTACTCCTGGCTCTGCGCTCAGGGATTACCCCTGGCGGTGCTCAGGGGACCATATGGGATGCTGGGAATCGAACCCGGGTCGGTCACGTGCAAGGCAAACACCCTACCTGCTGTGCTATTGCTCCAGTCCCTATTTTTTATTTTTATTTAATGAATTAATTTATTTATTTATTGCTTTTTGGGTCACACCTGGCAATGCACAGGGGTTACTCCTGGCTCTGCACTCAGGAGTTACTCCTGGCGGTGCTCAGGGGACCATATGGGATGCTGGGGATCGAACCCAGGTTGGTCACATGCAAGGCAAACGCCCTACCTGCTGTGCTATTGCTCTGGCCCCTTTGTTTAATTTTTTAAATTTCAGTTGCTGTCCGCACCCTGGCTCCCAGTGCTGTTAGTGTAGTCGCAGGCACGCGGTGTTCTAGCCACACACCCGCAGTGCTCACACATCGTCCACTGGGGGCATCACACATCTGGGGGCGTCACACATCAGGGGTGGGTGCTTGCAGTCTCGATCCCACCCAGCCTGTGTCTCCTCCCCTGCAGACATCTGCGCCTTCTGCCACAAGACCGTGTCCCCCCAGGAGCTGGCCGTGGAGGCCATGAAGCGGCAGTACCACGTCCAGTGCTTCACCTGCCGCACTTGCCACCACCAGCTGGCCGGAAAGCTCTTCTTCCAGAAGGACGGGCGGCCCCTCTGTGAGCCTTGCTACCAGGTACCTGCCGCTGGCCCCAGGTGCCAGGGCTGTACCAGGTGTGCGGAAGAAGCCACATGGATCCTTCCCTACCCCAGTGCCAACAGGCAGGCACGACAGGCCCAGTTCAGGTTTGGGGAGGGGTCCAGTCCTCAGCATCTCATGCTTCCCTGAGCACCCCTGGGAGCAGCTGCACCCCAGCAATGTGCTGAAGGTGCCCCTGGAGTCTGCTGGCTCTGACCCTGAGACAGAAGGGAATAAGTATGTGTCAAAATTGCAGAGGGGATGAAGGTGTTAAAAAGCATGTTGGTACTATATAATAAGGACATGGATAAATATATCTGGAACGAATAAACAGTTGGTGCACTTAAGACAAACAAACAAAGAATTGAGGAGGGGGCTGGAGACCTAGTACAGAGGGGAGGGCACTTGCCTTGCACAGGGCCAACCCGGCTTGATCCCCGGCATCCCCTCGGGTCCCCTGAGCACCGCCAGGAGTAACCCCTAAGCAACGCAGGGTGAGGCCCCAAAACAAGACAAACAAGAGAATTGCTGATGGATACTGTCTGGTGGAGTCGTGGCATACGGACCACTCATGGGGCATGTCACTGGGGCGGGGGAGAGGGCTCGAGGGGTGGGGTGCACACTTTCGTGCAGGAGCCTGGGCCGGAGTCCCTGCAGCTCATGGTCCCCCAGCACTGCCAAGTGTGACTTCCTGGCAGGAAAGAAGCACATTGGAGGTGAAGTGTGAGAGCTCATCTGAGCCCCCTTCCCCCACCCCCCCACCCCCGCCAGGTCTGTAACTGGCTGTAGGTGATTCTGATGCACGCTCCACCATGACAATGACTGGTTTGAGGTTAGAGTATTTGGAGTTGGGAGGGCAGGAGCAAAAGCACAGTGGGTGGGGCTCTTGCCTTGCAGGCGGCTGACCCTGACATGAATGCTGCCACCCCATACGGTCCCCCCAACCCCACCAGGAATGATCCCTGAGCATAAAAGGAAACGGCTGGGATTTTTTTTTTTGGTGGGGGGAGCCCACACTCATTGGTGCTTGGGAGTCACTCCCAGGTTGGTGCTCCAGGCATCTTGGGCTTCCAGGGATCAAACTTGAGCCTCCTGCATGCTTTGGCTGTGCTCCAGCCTGGTAAGGTTTGTCTTTTGGGTGACACTCGGCGATGCTCAGGGGTGACGCCTGGCTCTGCACTCAGGAATTACTCCTGGCAGTTCTTGGGGGACCATATGGGATGCCGGGAATTGAACCCGGGTCGGCCGCGTGTAAGGCAAACGCCCTACCTGCTGTACTATCATTCCAGCCCCAGTCGAAGTGAAAATTTAAAGAACGTTCGTAATTCCAAGAGGGGTACAGTAAGTAGATCAGATGAGACTAGAGGAATAGATGGAGTTGCCCTGAGAAAACTTTGTCCCTTATGTCAAGGAACTAAAGGGCCCCAAGGTCCTCCTGCGAGAGGCCTGTGACGCTGACCCAGGGCTTTCCCAGTGGCCAGATGCGAGGGAAAGAACTTCCAGGTGAAACTCATTCCATGAGGTGAAACTCGAACCAACCCCTTCCCATTCCTGACTCTGAGGGCTAAGAGCTTCCTCTGTGGGTCTCAGCCGACCGTGGCCTCCAGCGTTCTGAGACCCGACTACGGGCCGAGTCCTTTCCCGCTGCTGGTCCCAGCATATACCCCAGCTGCCTCCATTGCCACCAAGGTGGAGATCGGGCTGGTCACCTCAGGCCAGCCGCGGGCCTGGGCAGCTTCTCCTCTCCTCTGGCTTTCTGGCTGCTCCTCCCCAGGTGGAGTAAAGTGTGCCTGAGGGTGCAGAGTTGGGCGCACCCCGGCTGGCGCTCAGGCCGTGGCCCTCTGTTGCAGGACACCCTGGAGAAGTGTGGCAAGTGTGGAGAGGTGATCCAGGAACACATCATCAGGGCCCTGGGCCGGGCCTTCCACCCGCCCTGCTTCACGTGCGTGGCCTGTGCCCGCTGCATCAGAGACGAGCACTTCGCCCTGGACAGCCAGAATGAGGTGTACTGCCTGGATGACTTCTACAGGTACGGCAGTGGCGACTCCGGGGGCGTGGCGGGAGGCCAGGCAGCACCATGGCCCCGAGGCTCGCCTGCTGTCCCCTCAGCCCTGCTCCCACTGACAGCTAGTGTTCCCTGTTTGGGGTTTTGGCCACCCCTGATTGTGCTCACTGCTGACTCCTAGCTCTGTGCTCAGGGATGACTCCTGCTGGTGCTCAGCAGGCCCTAGGAGGGTGCCAGGGACCAAACTTGGGTCAGCTGCGTGCCAGGCAAGCACCCCATCACTCTCTGTGCTGTATTCAACCCTCTTTCTGCTTTGGATTACTTTGGTTTTCTCTGTTTGCTTGTTTTTTTTCTTTCATTTCATTTCCTTTTTTTTTTTTTCTCCAACTGATGGGTCGGTTCCTGGCCCACCCCTAGCGGTGCTCGGAGACTACTCCTGTCTCTGTGCTCAGGTACAGCTCCAGGGGCTGTTGGAAGCAGTGCTGGGAGAGGAGACCCAGAGCTGCTGTGTTGAGACAGCTCCTCCCTGAGGATGTGTGGTGTGAGCACGGGTTTCTCTCCCTCCAGGAAATTCGCCCCTATGTGCAGCATCTGTGAGAATCCCATCATCCCCTGCGACGGGAAAGATGCCTTCAAAATCGAATGCATGGGGAGAAACTTCCATGAGAACTGCTACAGGTGTGAGGTGAGTGGAGTGCTGTGGCGGGCAGCCCCCGGGAGGGCCAGCTGTGTGCCCCCAGCTCCCTGTCCAGAGCAGAACACGCGTCAGGGTGGAAGCGCAGTTCCAAAGTCACCAGAATGCTGAATGGTTTGTGCAGGCACCAGAGTGGGCCTGCTTCCACCAAGAGTGGGAATTGCCTGAGAAGGCTGGTGGTGATGAGGAAGGTTTTAGATGACACACCCAAGATGCTTTCCACTTCTCGGTCCTGCTGTGCAGTGTCTGTTTGTACCTGGTTTTCCTTGCCATCGTCTGGCACCCTCTGTGAGGAGGGTCACCTGGGGGATAGCCATGCTTCCCCGAGTTTTCTTCTTCCCCATCTGATACCTCATCCTCAGCTCCCACACATAGTCCCAAGAAGGCCTCTGATTGGACCAAATATGTCATATTCTCAACCAGCCCAGTCACTGGCCAGGATTAGTGATGGAAACCCCTGAGACCAGGGAAGCAGAGATGGGAAGGGGTGGCTGTTACCATAGGAGAAAGAAGGGGTGCAGGGTAGACCCACACCCAGTTGTCCTTAATACCTGTCCCAGGTGTTAAGAAAGAAATCAAAGGCCAGAAAGAAATCAAAGGCCAGTGGGTATAGGGTGTTTGCCTTGCATAAGACTGACCCAGGAGTGATTCCTGATTGCAGAACCAGGATTAACCTTTGAGCATCAGTTGGGTGTGGCTCAAAACCATAATAAAAACCAAAAACCCAAGAAAGATAAATCAGGGGCCAGAGAGATAGTACAGTGGGTAGGGCACCGGCTGTGCATGCAATAGATGCATTTTTGGTCCCTGGCACCCCATATGGTCCCCCAAACATCACTAGGAGTGATCCCTGAGCATAATGTCAGGAATAAGCCCTAAGCACTGTTGGGTGTGACCAAAAAAGAAAAAAGAAATACCAAGGAAATTGCATGGTATGAAGTATGCCTTATACAGACTATTTCAGAGAGCACTCTGAAAATACGGAAATTTTTTTTTCTCTTTTTGGGTCATACCCGGCGATGTACAGGGGTTACTCCTGGCTCGTGCACTCAGGAATTACTCTTGGCAGTGCTCAGGGGACCATATGGGGTGCTGGGAATCGAACCCGGGGGTCAGCCACGTGCAAGGCAAATGCTCTATCCGCTGTGCTATCACTCCAGCCCCAAAACAGTGAAATTCTTATTGTAGCTTTTGCATTTGTGTACCATGGGGGGTAGGGGAAATGCCACATCCAGAGGTACTCAGGCACTACTCCCCAGTGCTCAGGGGAGATGCAGAACCAGGGATGGAACCTGGGCTCCCTCACACAAGGCCGCTGCTCCAGCCCTTGGAGCTTTCTCCCTGGCCTGACATTGTCAGCTTCTTCATGTTTGTGTCTCTCTCTCCTTTTCCTGCCGTTCCAGGGCTTGAAACATGTGAGGCACATGCTTTATTTACTGTTGAGCCACAAACCTGAAATTCTTTTTTTTTTCTTTCAGGATTTTATTTATTTATTGCTTTTTTTGGGGGGGGGGGTGATCACACCTGGCAATGCTCAGGGGTTACTCCTGGCTCTGCACTCAGGAATTAGTCCTGGCAGTGCTCCCCTGGCAGGGGACCATATGGGATGCCGAGGATCGAACCCAGGCCGGCCACATGCTGTACTATCACTCTGGCCCCCAGAAACGAAATTCTTGATTTTTGAACCAGGAGTTCTACATTTGCATCTCTCCCTGAACCCTGCAGACCATAGAGTCAGTCAAGCTGGAGAGGTGCCCAGGCCTCTCCCAAGTCTTCCAACCTCCGCACACATGGGGTTTCCTCTTTTCTGAAGGTTCACAAAAATTGCAGCTCTCTTGGGTGTCACCTACAGGGCAGTGAGAGGTATCCCAGAATAAATCTCTTCATCAGTGGGTGAATAATTCTAAACTTTGATTCACATGGATAAGGGAAACTGGCACTTCCACCCCACACCATGAGGGAATCGGGTAGGAAGCTGCCAGACGTCTTCACACTGTGATGTCCGTGGTGGGCCTTGTTCAGGGTCAGACTGATCAGGTGTCCTGGAAGAACTAGGACAAATGCCATGGTGGGATGCTCACCTCCAAAGCTCCCTGCTGACTGGCACTTCCCTGAGCCTGGCTAGTGAGCAAATTAAGCTCTTTACATGTCCTTGGGAAGCTTGGGAAAGAGTACCAGGACCGGCAGCCAGGCTGCTCCTGAATGTCGAAATTTGGTTTCAGAAATGGGAGCTCTTACACCTTAGTGCTCAGGACAGAGCAGGAAACACAGACCTCTCTCTCCCTCTCTGTCTCTCTGTCTCTCTCTCTCTCACACACACACTCTTTCTCTCTTTCTCTCTCTCTCTCTCTAGCTCGCTCCTTTTTTGGTGTCTTTTTGGTCCATGTCTGGTGATGCTTAGGGGCTGCTCCTCCCTCTGCACTCATGGTGGTGCTCAGGAATCAGACCAACCGGACTCTCGTTCCAGCGCCCTCGTTCCACATGGACTTCTCAGTACCTCCCAGCACTTGGCTCATTCCTGCTTACTCTATTCCGGGTTATTTGTCACCGTTGTGGGGAGACTGACAGTATTTTGACCTGGGTAATATTTTTCTCCATGGGGTTTGACCTCCAGATATTTGCTTGCTACTATTGTCCTAGGAAAGAATCACAGAAATCTCTGAATGGAAGGGAGGGCTTTTATTATAGGGGAAGAGTGAAGCCAGGAAGGATGTCCACCAGCCTGGGCTGGAGAACAGATTCCAAGCAGGAAGTTGAGGCAACCAACTTCCTGTTGGGTTTTATGCCCAACAGAGGTAGAATAAAAACAGTTTATACATACGCTAGCAGGTTGTCAGGAAACTCATGCATATTCATGTGGGAGAACATCGAGCATGAGCTGTGGAGGGACTTACAAGGAACATGCGTCACGTGTGTAGGAAACACGTGCAGTTTGCTGTGCTAATGAAGACTGAGGAAACTAGAACTGAAATGAGTTTTCTTGCTCAGTCTCCACTAGGCAGGGTTGTCTAGCTAAGGGCTTGGGGCTCTCGCCAGCACAGAAGTGTTCTTAAAGTTCCTCTTTTGGAACTTAAAATCGGAGCCAACAGGATGCAGTGAGGCAGCTTCTCCCAGGAAGTGGGGGTCACACTCTCCAATTAACTTCATGCTTCATCTATTTTAGCTTTTATTTTCTCCCCTTTGGTTTTTGAGCCACACCCAGTGTTGCTCAGGGCTTACTCTTGGCTCTGCACCCAGGGATCACTCCTGGCAGTACTTGTGGGACCATTTGGGATGCTGGGATTGAACCCAGCATTTATTGTAGTCATATAAAAAAGAAAGCTAGAAAAATTAAATGTTATTAAGAAAACAAAGGGAACTGAGCTTATGGTTCAAGTGGTAGAGCTAACTTCAAACATGTTAGCAATGTTTGAAGTCCATAGTGGCCCCTGAGTACAGAGCAGGGAGTAAGCCCTAAGCATAGTGTAGGTAGGTAGGTAGGTAGGTAGGAAGGAAGGAAGGAAGGAAGGAAGGAAGGAAGAAAGGAGGGAAGGGAAAGAAAGGAAGGAAGGAAGGAAGGAAGGAAGGAAGGAAGGAAGGAAGGAAAGGAGGAAAGGAGGGAGGGAGGAAGGGAAGGAGAGAAGGAGGGAAGGAAGATAGATTTTTTGGTTGTTTGGTTTTCAGGCCATACCTGGCTGTGTTCAGGACTTCCTCCTCGCTCTGCTCTAAAGAATCTCTCAAGATCAGCAGTGTGCAAGGCCAGCACCTTACCCACTGCACAATCTCTCCAGCCCAGAAAGAGAAAATTCTAAGGGAGCCCGAGAGAGTACAGGGGTTCAGGCGCTTGCTTTGCATGCAGCTAACCATGTTTAATCCCTAGTACAGGGTATGGTTCTCTGAGCACAGATGTTGGAGTGAGTCCTGAGCAGTGAAGAACACATCTCAAGTCCTGCTTATCCAAAAGAAAGAATAGTGAATGGGGAGAGCCCGGTCTCCCTTGTTCGAAACCCTTTAGTGATGTGAAAACTGGCCGTCACCAAGTATGTGCCTGTGATGAAGCCCCACGGGCAGTGGAGCAGGAGCAGGAAAAGGTCCCCATGAGCTGGGGCGGCCTCACCGCACCCCCCGGTGAAATGAAGGGACAAGATGAGAGCAGATGGCAACTGCATGTCTAGTGACCAGGCCCTGTCTCAGCAGGGCTGACTGCAAAGGGGGCTCCTGCTTTGAAGGGTTTCATTCTGCTCTAGGTTGGTTTTGCTGAGTTTTGTTGCTTGGTTGGATTTTTGGTTACACCCAGTGGTGCTCAGGGCTGACTTCTGAGTCTGTGCTTTGTGTACCAGGAATCACTCCTGGTGGGGTTCAGGGGACCATATGGGGCTCTGGGGATCGAATCCGAGTCAGCATTGTTAAAGGCACACACCCTACCTCTCTACTTTCTTTCCAGCCCAGTTTTGCCAGTTTGGGGACTATATCTAGTGGTGTTCTGGGGCTACTCCCTGCTCTGTGCTCGGAGGGTCCCTCATGGTGGTGCTCAGGGGACCATGACTGGGATTGAACCCAGGCTTCCTGCATGCAAAGCGAGGGTCCACTTTTATCCTTCGTTTTGGGTCACACTCTGCGGTGCTCAGGGGTTACTCCTGGCTCTGCACTCAGGAATTACTCCTGGCGGTGCTTGGGGGACCATATGGGATGCCAGGGATTGAACCTAGGTCAGCCGCGTGCAAGGCAAACGCCATTACCCGCTGTGCTATGACACTGTCAAGAGGGAAGGTGAGGATTAAAGAAACTATATACAAGTGGTTGAGAGGGCTGCTTGGAACAGCCATCGCTCCAGCAGTCTTCCTTTAAGGTTTTTTGCATAATGGACCACACTCAGTAGTCCTGGTTGCGAACTGGCCATGAGGGCCACATCAGTGGTACTCGGGCTGGCGGGCGGTGCTGGGGGTCTAGCCCAGAGCCTTGCTCCCTCCATGCATGTTCACTGTATGAGCTCTCCCCAGCTGAGTGGGTGCTGAGGCACCGCTAGCCGTGTTCATGTCTTCCCCTCAGCTGACCTGCTGTCCCGCTCACACCTCCGCATCTTCCTGATGGAGCTCGAGGGTGTCGGGAGAGCGAGGACCTGGCGTGTGCTCTGCTCCCTACGGGGCCTGTGGGCACGGTCCTGTCCTCAGCGCAGGCGCGGTGGTGGCCGCCCAGCGAGGCTTGCCCGTAAGTCACTTGCCAGCTGTCACTCTCCCCTTGTCTCTGCAGGACTGCAGGGTGCTGCTGTCCATCGAGCCCACGGAGCAGGGTTGCTACCCGCTGAACAACCGTCTCTTCTGCAAGCCCTGCCACGTGAAGCGGAGTGCCGCGGGCTGCTGCTGAGAGCCCCCCGGCTCTTGGGGCCCGGTGCAGCCCACAAGCCTGATGGTGGCCTGGGGGGGGAGGAGGGAGCGGGTGGCCTCCCGTGACTCAGTTTCCCCTCTTGCCTGCTCTTGTGTGCCTTCCCTCTGGGCACCCAGGAACCAGCTCACACCTCTGCCCACCACACCTGGGTCCCAGGGGCTAAGCCTGCCCAGTCCCGGCCTCCCTTCACACTCCTGCTCTGCCTCTGCTCCCCGCTGGGGGCCGGAAGGTCCCACGCCAGGAGCCTCACACCCAGGGTCCTCGTCCTTGAAGCCCTGGCCCCTCTGGATCACTGGCCTTGACCCGTTTCCTGGGGTGAGTTGAGCTAAGACGCCAGAGGTCCTGCGTTGCTGCAGTGACACAGAGTGGTCAGCAGGGGGCGTGAAGACCAGTTCTCACTTGTAGTATAGAGCTGTTTAAATCTCCAAGTCCCTTTTAAGAGTGCTTTATTCCCCCCCCCCCCAAAAAAGGAATACTGAGGTTTGGGTTTTGGGTCCCTAAGCCCTCACACATGCAAGGCAAATGCTCTATCGCTGAGTCACTTCCCCAGCCCAAATATCAAGGCTTCTTATTTTTGCGTATTTTTGTTTTTATTTGTTTGGTTTTGGTTTTTGGGTCTCACCAAACCTCTGGCACTGTGCTCAAGGGTCACTCCTGGTGGTGCTCAGGGGACCATATATGGTGCTGAGGGTTGAACCAGGGTAAACCACATACAAGACAAGTGCCTTAACCCCTGGACTAATCTCCCCAGCCCCAAAATATTAAGGTTGGAAGGGTAGGAAACATTCTTTGGGCATGTGGGCAATGGAACACCTCCCAGGAGTACCCGATGTGACTTTTCAGATGGACACAGTTGTGGCCTATGGCGGACCGTGACAGACTGTCCACCTCGGAACACAGCATGTGATGTGGGGCCGGGCCCGGGAGCCTCGAGGGCCGAGGAGAGGGTGATGCTGACCCCAGAACTTCAGTGGACCTACTGCATGCTGGGACCAAGGTGCAGGAGTTCTGGGTGTTCTTGCTGCAGCCGTGAGCCCCCCCCCCCCACACTCCAGGATGGTGCGGGGACCCCTTTGTTCCCCCAGTCCCATTCTCCCTTCTCCCCTCCCTAGAACCTCCAGTTCTTTGGACCCTCCAGCCCTGCAGCCTGTTAGCTTCCTCAAGGCTGCATGTGTAGCCTTTTCTTCTGTCTTAAAGGAAACCACTTTTGGTCGAGCTATGTACAGTGAGTGAGGCTGCGCCTTCTTCCCTGGAGTCACCCGATGCCCACATGCTCCTGTGGGTGTCGGGGGCCAGGCTCCAGAAATGTTTGGCGCTTGAAATGGTGCTGGGGCCACGCCCTGAGGCTCAGACCTCACTCCCCCTGCAAGGCTCCGGGTATTGAACCTGGCTCTCCTGCACTGCGGCCCTCTGGGCTTGTTCCTCAGCCTAGGCACTTGTAGAGCCCTGGAGGGGCTTCAGAGCCGCTTCTTTTTTTTGCTTTTTGGGTCACACCTGTCAATACACAGGGGTTACTTCTGGCTTATGCACTCAGGAATTACTCCTGGCGGTGCTCGGGGAACCTTATAGGATGCTGGGAATTGAATCTGGGTCGGCTGCGTGCAAGGCAAATGTCCTACCCACTGTGCTATCGCTCCAGCCCCCAGAGCCACTTCCTGTCTGAAGCCCTGAGCCATGTGTCCCCACTCCCAGCATTCACACGCCACCTCTGTGTTTTTCCCCTCACCACAGGCTGCCTGTGCTCTTGCTTCCTCCCGGGGTTCTTCAATGCACTTGTACTCCCAGCTCTAGGTCATGCGAAGCATTACACACCTTGCTGCCACGCGCTGATGTGCTTGTCATGGTTTCCCTGTGGCACATGAAAATAAATGCGGCACTGTTTGAAGTTCACGTGTAGCGTCTGTAATCTTTCCCTGGTCAACACCAGCCCTAGGTGCATCCTTGGGGGAATTTTGGCTGGACACTCCTTGGCAGCACAAGAGTCTCTGACCCCCCCCCCACCCCAACACACATACAGACACACACACACACACACACACACACACACACACAAGGCTCAACTAGCACATGCCCAGCTTTGAAGATGTGGACCCGCCAACTCACAGGCCATCTGCAAAGGGGTGCCTAGGGTCCCCAGGGTGGAGTCTACTGTGCAACAACCTCTGGGACCTCAGACCTCTGAGGAGAATCCACACCCACCTGGGCTCTACCTTCTGCATTCTGGGAGCTCGTCCATCACTCAGTTTGGCTCATATGCCAACAGCTGGGTTTGGTGACTACGCCCCAGACAGAGGGTGCATGGCAGGTCAGTACTGTGCTGTACAGTAAGCATGGATGAAGTATGAGTCCTCTGAGCCTTGGCTTCCTCCCTGTAAAATGGGAGCAGTCCCTTGTTCTCAACTACCGGTTCACAAATCTGCCTCAATGTAAGGGAGCTCAGAATTGCTGTTATGGAGGTTCATTATGATGAAAAGAGAGAAGTGTGGGGCTGGTGAGATTCTGAAAAGCTAATGAGTGTTGGTGCTAAGGACATGAGGACGAGACTCTGTACGCTGCCCTGAAAGCAGGAAGCAAAACCGAGGCCCCACTTCTCACTAAGTGGGCATGCTAAAAACTTGAGTCTGAAACCCACAAGATTTTTAGGGTGTTATGGGAGCTTAGAATTTAGGCAGGCATTGAGAGTTCTGGGAGAGTTGAGGAAATGGGGATTGCCCCTCAATGTATGCAAAGGAACATGGATGAGTTTATGATTAAGAGGCTTAGTTTTTTTTTGTTTTGTTTTGTTTGTTTGATTGCGGGGGGTGGGCACAGCTGGTAATGCTTAGGGCTTACTCCTGGCTTTGTGCTCAGGGGGCACTTCTGGTGAAGCTCAGGGGATCATACGTGGTGCCAGTGATATCAAACCCAGATTAACCACGTGCAAGGCAAGCGCCTTACCCGCTGTACTATCACACCAGCCCCAAGAAGCTTAATTCATTTCTCCAGTGAGAACCTACTCTTGTAGTTGGCCAGGGCTCACAGGATAGGGGCTGCTTGTCATTTTTGTGACACGGTTCACATGTGACTAGAATTAGCAGCTGGGAGACTAGAGCCAGGGCAGCTCCCCTCCCTTACAGTCTCTTATTACCACATTCAATTTGCTTTTGTAAAAATGAAACTTTGCTGCGATTCCTCATGTCCCTGCTTGTTGGTCCCGGTTGGTTGGTTGGTTGGTTGGTTGTGTTTTAAGGGAGTAACTCTAGGGAGTAATTCTAGGGGGCGATATTTTCTTCAGAGTTTCAGGTTTCTGTCACTCTATATAAGGGATCACTTACAGGGACATTTCTGCTAAGTGTAATAAATAAGTCAGTCAAAGGGTGAAAAACGGGCTGGAGCAATAGTACACAGGGTAGGACACTTGCCTCCACACAGCCAGCTCGGTTTTGATCCCTGTCACCTCACATGGTCCTCCCCAGCCCCTCCAGGGTTACTTACTCCCTGAGCACAGAGTGGGGAGTAAGCCCTGAGCACCTGTGATCCACCCACAACCCCCCCCCCATAAAGTCAAATGCAGGAGTGATAGCTCAGGGTTGAACACATGCTTTTGTCTCTGTTGTTTGGGGGACTCCACCAGCAGTGCTCAGGGTTTACTTGTGGCTCTGTGCTCAGGGATCATTCCTGGTAGGGTATAGGAGACAGTACATATGGATCAAACTGGTGTCAGTCAGCTACATATATGTCAAGTGCCCTACCCCTGGTACAATTTCTCTGGCTCCTGAGTATATGTTTTGCATGTGGGAGGCCCAGGCTTGATCCTCAGCACCGCATGTTCCCCAAGCACGCTGGGGAGGAACCCTAGAGCACAGAAGCAGTACTACTCCCTAGCTGAAGTACTAGTGGCCTTTCAGCTTACAAAAGAAAGTTGATTCCTAGTTCATACTGAGGTATTTAGAGTTGTCAAATTCAGACTTGAAGAAGAATGGATGTTGGGGTGGACTTGGGGTGGGGAAGGGAGCCACTTGGTGGGTACCAGGATCCCCAGTGGCTCTGCAGGAAGAGTTCTAGAGGTAAATGAGGGAGATTGTCACATGGCAGTGCAAACGCAATGACAATCACTTAAGAATGGCTATGTGGGTGTAATTTTATATTTATTCAATCAGCTACAGGGAGTGGGACTAGAATCCCTGCCTGTGAGAAGGGACAGGTCCCCGGGCCACCAGCGTTCCAACCATACTATTATAGTGCGTGCGTGTGTGTGTGTGTGTGTGTGTGTGAAGCAAGGTACTATTTTTTTTTTTTTTTTTGCTTTTTGGGTCACACCTGGCGATGCACAGGGGTTACTCCTGGTTCTGCACTCAGGAGTTATTCTTGGCGGTGCTCAGGGGACCATATGGGATGCTGGGAATCGAACCCAGGTCGACTGCATGCAAGGCAAACACCTACCCGCTGTGCTATCTCTCCAGCCCCAAAGCAAGGTACTTTTTATTTAAATTTATTTAGAAAGATCGGATGGAAGAGAAAGAGGGAGAAGTACAGGTTCTAGAGAGAACACAGGCTTCTCCAGAGTGAAGAAGCAAAGAGACATGGAGACAAACAAGTGAGATACGAGTTCAAGGGAGAACAGAGTCTTAAAGAGCAAGCCCACCCTGCCCTGCCTGAGCACAAACTTCATGGGACGCTGCAGTGGGACGAACCTGGGCTTCCTGGAGGCAGATGCTGAGCATGACCACCAGAGGGCAGCATGGGCTCATGAGCGGAAGCCGGGTTGCCCAGCTCCTCAGCGTCTCCAGGCGCAAGACTGGAAATCATGCCTGCCTTTTTGCTACAGAGTTGCAGCGGGGATACGAAAAATTAATAAATCGGCAACTAGAAAGTGAGTAAAGTCTTGTGGAATCCCTGTCCCTGAAATATGGTCCCACGCAGACACCCCTGCAAGCTGAGCTTCAGGAATCTGGACTTGGGAGGTGAAGACTGAAGACAATTTGGGGAAACTCTGAACCTTTCGACCTGTCACCCACCTCTCCAGGGCCTCCCATACCTGAGGACACACCCAG